TTCCAAACTAAGAATCAGGGCACAGGGCACTTCTTTTGGCAATGGATTTTTGCTTAGAATTTGTAATGGGTTCATTTGAAGTATTTTAATGTATTTTATATATATATATATAATTTATTTATTTATTTTTGCATTGCAATTATTTTGTGATTTCTTCTTCCACTTTATTTTTTAAATTTATTTTTGCATTACAATTCTTAATATACCATTATACCATAATTTATCATATCTCTGATTATATATGTTGACACCAAATTCATATCTTTATACATGTATTTTGTATAATGATGAGAGTCTCCTTTCACCATCCATGCTATTCCCTTTCTCTCTCTCTTTCCTTCCCACCCCTATTCCCTATCTAGAGGTAATCTTCCTCCCTTGCTCTCCGTCTCAACCCCATTTTGAGTCACCCCACTATATCAGAGAAGACATTCGGCATTTGTTTTTTTGGGGATTGGCTAACTTCACTTAGCATAATCTTCTCTAATGCTATCCATTTCCCTGCAAATGCCATGATCTTATTCTTTTTTATTGCTGAGTAATATTCCATTGTGTATAAATGCCACATTTTTTTTATCCATTCATCTACTGAAGGGCATCTAGGTTGGCCCCACAGTTTAGCTATTGTGAACTGTGCTGCTGTAAACATTGATGTGGCTGTGTCCTAAAGGATTTAGACATTGGACCACATTTTGTTACATATTTTACAATTCAACCAAATAAATTTCATGAAGGGTAAACATTTATTAAACAATAATATTCCACCCAAAGTACTATTTATTTATTCATCACAAAATGATATTGTATCACAAATGCTTCTCAAGCATTATTATAATTTTCAAGCAATTGTTATATTTGCAGCAGTATTATTTTCATGATTTATGCACTTTATAAACTGTTCTGCCTGACCTTGCTCAATGATTCTATTTTAACCTTATTTTTTTGTAAAATAAGACATGGACATGATTTTTACTAATATAAGACATTTTGGAGAAAGAAAAGTCTTTTGCCTCACCTTTCCCCAAACCATGTCCACTGCCCACAAGTGTGCCTTTTGATTCTTGAAATATCCTCTGTGTTCTCTTTCTGTTGGTTCAATGCTGAAATTCCAGTGTGATCCTTTTCCTATTATATTTTCTAATTTGTTCCAAGAATTTTGTTCAAAGTTCAAGAGTTTGCTCATATTAATCTTTCAATCCTTATATGAAATTTCTGTTTTTGCTATGTCATTTCCAAAAGCTCATTCTTATTCTCTATACCTCTTTGAGATGATCCTGCACCTATCTCAGAGACATAATCTCTTTATTCTTCTCTCTGGATATATTAATGTTTTAAAGGCTTTGTCTTTCCTCCCTGCATCCTCTCTATTTTCTCCAAGTTTCTTCTCTGTTTTGCTTTGGATATTTTTTCCCAGTCTCTCTCTTTCAGATTAGAAGTCTGCTAAAATGCCTGGTTATATTTGTCCATTTAAGTTTTCCTTTTAATTATTTAATTTTTGAGTAAATAAAATATCTGAATGCTTTAAGATGCAGAAATAATGAGAGGACATTCACTAAAGTTTCTCTACTATCTTTGCTTCACTACCCTGTCACTTATAAATATCTTTTTCTTACAAGGAAGCCTGTCTGCTCCCCCCATCTCTTGCCTGTAGGTAACTGCTAATCTTAGGCATGCTTCCAGAATTCTTTTATACATAGAAAAGAAGAATATATTGTTTTCCCTATTTATTTAATACATAAAAATTGAACACCTGTGGTTTTTTTTTGTTTTGTTTTGTTTTTGTTACACATAGCAATGTGACTTTTAGGTTTTTTATCATGTCCATACTTCACAACACCGAACACTTCCTTATTTCTTTTCATACCTCGGTAATGTTCTGCTGTATTTATTATTAATGCAATCTATTGATAAACAACTGGGCCGTTTGCAACTTTTTTTTCTATTACAAACAGTACTTCAGTAAACAACATAATAAAACATCATTCACACATAGGCAAATCTATGAAATTCATATCACAAATTAAAATTACTGAGTCAAAAGCTAAAGCATCTGTCATTTTGAAAATCTTGTCAATATCCTCAGGTAGAGGTGAACAAATTTATACACCCAAGAGCAGGGTAAGAGTTCCTGCTTCACTATAGTCTAATTAATAGAACACATGTTGCAAATGCAAAATAGTTCTACTGCATATTAGTTTCCTATAGCTGCAGTGACAAATTGCTACAAACTTGGTGGTTTAAAGAAACATACTCTTATTATTTAACATTTCTGGAGGTTAGAAGTCCAGAATGGTTGTTACTGGGCTGAAAAGGAAAGTTCCCACAGGGCTGCATTCCTTCCTGAGGGCCCAAGTGCAGAATCCATTTTTCTGTCTTTCCATTTCTATCAGCTGCCCATATACAAAGACCCTTCTATATTCAAAGCCAGCAAAGTCAATCTAGCCCTCCTCCTATTCATCACTCTGACACTGGCACTTCTGCCTATTTCTTTCATATTTAAGGATACTGATTCATTACATTGGGTTTATCCAGATAAAACAAAGTAATCTACCTACTGTGAGTCAGCTGATTTGCAATCTTAATTCCATCTGCAACCTTAATTCTTTATTGTTGGCTAGCATAACATTCTCAGGCTCTGGAAGATAAGAACATGAGCATCTTTGAAGGACTATTATTTTGCCTCTGACAGTTTGCATTTTCTATATTTTGACCACTGTTAAGCATAGTCTCATGTTTAAGAATCACTTGATTATCCTTTTTTATGAAATGTGTTTTCATTTTCTTTGATAATTTTACTATTGTGTTATTAGAATCCATTATATATTAGAAATTTGCCCATTTTCTTCAATATGAGTTGAAATTTGTGCTCTCTGTTATGTTTGTTGTTAATTGGGATTTTTTAACTTATATGGTTACATTTTGTAATGTTTCTGCACTTTTGGTAGTAGTTAAAAAGAATTTCTCCCATTCTGATGTTAATTTGCCTGTTTTAATTCTAGAAGTTTATAATGGTTTTATTTTTCATGTATAAAACTGTGATCCTTTCAGAACTAATTTGGGTATAAGGTAGGAGATACCAATTCAATTTTTTTTTCCAATTCACCAAACAGCTACCTAATATTGGGTATTAAATTTCTTTACTTTTTTAAGACGCCACCTTTACCATATGCAAAATTCTAGCATGTACTGGGTCAACTTATAAATATCTTGTTCTTACTCTGTTGGTTTCTCCATGAAACCACCTTGTATCACCTTGGCAAACCTGTCCTAACTATGTGTGTCTATATACCACAGAAACTTTGGCACAATTCCTYTTCTAAGTCCCAGGAAAGAGTCAAGAAAGGCAGTGTGAAATAGTAAGCACACAGTGGATCAGAGGAGGTGGCATAAAAATAAGTGATCACAGACTCACTGACTTGACCTCAGCCAAATGGAAAGCTTCAGGCACATCATGAAGACAATTAGACACTAATAACCACAACCTAGCATCCATAGTTGGGAAATCAGCAGGCTAACTCAGAAACTGACATATTAAATGAAACTTCCCTTCTGAGTCAATGTCTTTCTCTAGAGCTCTATTACTTGAGTGTAACATTTCTATGACACTTAATACCTGCAAACTAAGGTGTACTAAGAATAAATTGTACTAGAGAAACTTAAACAAAAAGATGATCAGGGCCAGATGTGCTGCACACACATGTAATCCCAGCGACTTGAGAGGCTGACGCAGGAGGGTTAAATGTTTGAGGCTGGCCTCAGCAACTTAGCAAGGACCTGTCTCAAAATAAAAAAATAAAAAGCAGGTTGGGGATGTGGCTCAGTGGTTAAGTGCTCCTGAGTTCAAATCCCAGTACAAAAAAAGAAGGTTATCAAGGTGGCAACAGATGTCAGCGAGAGAGACATGACAAACTGCAACAGAAGAGAAGTGTTCAGAGACCTGCTGCTCTGAAGGACTTGCAGGGAAAGATAGGAAAGGGACAGCATTGAGAGTGGACCAATTTACAGATTGCTGCTGACCCTTCCCACTAAGGAACAAACTTTAACCTAGATATTTAACTAGATCCTACATACTGTTGGTAACTTTAAGATATCTAGGTGTTTATGTAGAAGGGAATATGCTATATACAGGTACATACAAATATACTCCAAAACAGTAAATATAACATTTTCCTGTTTTGGACAAATATACTCTAAAACAGTAAAATATTAGGGTTGAAGAATTCCTAGTGTGTGTCAATTTTTTTTCTCCGTGAGTCATCTGAACTTTTTAAAAGAATTATATCATACATCTATAATGAGAATTTTTTTCCTAAATTATTCTGAAATTCTATTACTTTTATAATTTCATGCAAATATCTAAGATGTGAAATTTGTGTGTGTGTGTGGGGGGGGAGGTGTACTGAGGATTGAATCCAGGACACTCCACTATTGAGTATGCCATAGGTCCTTTTTTATTTTTATTTTAAAACAAGGTCTTGGCTAAGTGGCTGAGCCTGGCCTCAAACTTGTGGTCTTCCTGCCTCAGTCTTCCCTGTCACTGGGATTGTAGGCATGCTCCAACATACCCCACAAGGATTAGAAACATTTGGATAGCTATACATAAATATGTAATGAGACATGAAATTATATCCTATTCCCATTGAGAAATATTTCAATAAAAGAATATTTGCACACCACACAGAGGATGACGACCTGTTTGCCAGTTCCTCTGTTACACAATAAGCTCCTCTGAAGGCAGCACTGTATTGTACTCATTTTTATCACTGGCATTTGGCACCCACTAGACACTCAGTAATGTTAAGTGAATTTATGAATGCATAAGTACTCTAGTAGCTTTTGATGTGTAATTTTCAATGTTAACTGATGAATTATGTCAGCCTTGGAGTCTCTGTTCTGTTACTGCAACTTTGCTAAGTGTGTGACATAAAGCAATTGACTGATCACATATAAGACACCTAAACAAGTGTTCCTTTTTTTCTCTTTCATTCTACCTATCACAGCTCCATTCAACCCAAATAAAGGTGCAGATAGCATCGTCAAGTTTGACACTTTTGGAGATGGAATGGGACGATACAACGTGTTCAATTTCCAGTTTGTGGGTGGAAAGTATTCCTACTTGAAGGTTGGTCACTGGGCAGAAACCTTATCATTAGATGTTGACTCTATCCACTGGTCCCGGAACTCAATCCCCACTTCCCAGTGCAGCGACCCCTGTGCCCCCAATGAAATGAAGAACATGCAACCAGGGGATGTCTGCTGCTGGATTTGCATCCCATGTGAGCCTTACGAATACCTGATTGATGAGTTTACCTGTATGGACTGTGGGCCTGGGCAGTGGCCCACTGCAGACTTATCTGGATGCTTTGATCTTCCTGAGGACTACATCAGATGGGAAGATGCCTGGGCCATTGGCCCAGTCTCCATTGCCTGCCTGGGGTTTATGTGTACATGCATGGTTATAACTGTGTTTATCAAGCACAACAACACACCCTTGGTCAAAGCATCAGGCCGGGAACTCTGCTACATCTTGCTGTTTGGGGTTAGCCTGTCATATTGCATGACATTCTTCTTCATTGCCAAACCATCACCTGTCATTTGTGCTTTGCGCCGGCTGGGGCTGGGGACTTCCTTTGCTGTCTGTTATTCAGCTCTGCTGACCAAGACAAACTGCATCGCCCGTATCTTCGATGGGGTCAAGAATGGCGCTCAGAGGCCCAAATTCATCAGCCCCAGTTCACAGGTTTTCATCTGCCTGGGTCTGATACTGGTGCAAATTATAGTAGTGTCTGTGTGGCTCATCCTGGAGGCTCCAGGCACCAGGAGGTATACTCTTCCAGAGAAGCGGGAAACAGTCATCTTAAAATGCAATGTCAGAGATTCCAGCATGCTGATCTCTCTTACCTATGATGTGATCCTGGTGATTCTATGCACTGTGTATGCCTTCAAAACAAGGAAGTGCCCGGAAAACTTCAACGAAGCCAAGTTCATAGGTTTTACCATGTACACCACCTGCATCATCTGGTTGGCCTTCCTCCCTATATTTTATGTGACATCGAGTGACTATAGAGTAAGTTATTGATTGCTTTTTTTCTTTTCTTTAACTAGTTTCTTCATTCCTTTGTTGTTTTACCTTGTCAATGTTGCAGAGTGTAGAAGTGAAAATAGAACGTTTTTATTTCATCTCAGGAGTAAACTGAATAAATGCAAATGCCAAGATGAACCTTGAGATTATATGTAAAATTTACTCAAGTATGTTTTTAAAGCATTTCATTAGAATGTGTCTTGTTCAGAGCACTGTGCTAGGCACAGTGGAGAAAATAAATGTAAATGCTATCATTCAAGCAATTTATAATTTAGTAGTAAAGGAAATGTAATACATACACATGATTTTTTTAAATTAAATTTTAAAAGCAATTTATAAGAAAATAAGACATAATCACTAAGAACCTAATGAGAATCCTTCAATTAGAAGAGAACTTAGCTACAAATTAAAAACACACTTGTGACATTAATACAGAACCAGTTTAAAGATTGAAACATTTTATTATGCTTTATTACTTCTCTAAAACAGATTAATATGTAATGTTAATTTGCTATGCCTTTTCTAAAACTTTAGTTTCACATACAAATATGTTATGTGTGTACATATAGAGACCAAGAATCCATGAAATACTCAAATATTTTACTGTGCATGTACAAGTTACCTATGTAAGTCATACAGTTTAAATTTCTGGACTCCCATATAATTACCACCTCTTCTAAAAGTAAATTCATCATTCCATCATAATTTCCCAAACTGTTTAAACCATTCATTAGTTATTTTTAACATTAAAAAATCTGACTTTAGTATCTTACATTGGGTAAGTATAAGAATTTTTTCTCCTTGGGCAACTGGTTTTTATTCACTATATTTTTTAAGTCCTCAGAGATTAAAATTTTCCAGAAGCATACTAGTTTCCAAGTTATACCATGAGTTCACAAAATGAAATGCCCCATAGGTATAATAACCCCCAGATCTTCTGTTTGCCAACAGTTCTTACGTTGCCAAAACCTAGAAAATTGCATCCCAAAAGGAAGACAAAGCAGATACAAAATTTCAGATAGGAAGGAGAAAATTCAAAATATTATGGTGGCTAGGGTTAGGGTTAGGGTTAGTGATTTACTAACCCTAACCCTAACCCTTAGTAAATAACTAAGAGACTGAGATTTTAGGTGTTCTCAACACACACACACACACACACACACACACACACACACAATGGTAAGTATGTGAGATATTGCATATCAATTAACATGATTTAACCCTTCTTCAGTATATGCATACTTGAACACATCATATTGTATGTGATATATATACACAATTTTTGTCAATTAAAATATTTTTTTAAAAAAATCAAAAGAAAATGACAAAGGAAGAAAAATCTATTCAAAGCATTGGATCAAGAAGTTGGCAAAACTTAACATATATAGTTTATTTAAATTATTCACAACTATGTGAATCAAACCTGTAGAGTGCACTAATGAATGAATGATAAAAATTGAGACCCTAAATTCAGCATTGGAGTAATGGCCAAGCATTTTAAGACTAACCATAAAAAAACTGAAAATCTTTAAGAGGTAACATTTGCACTGGATCAGCAAAATCAAAGGAAAGAATATATGAACCACAGGAGAGTTTGAATTTTCAGAGTTTGAGGATTAAAATACTACTGTATTTTAATGCCCTATCCCATCTTTGGTCTTTACACACTCATTCATGCCTATAAATCTTAAGGAATATACATTTCATATATGCTGAAGAGACCAAGCATGAAATAATTTGGGATTAACATAGAATAGTTTATAATTAAACTGGTGATACAAACTCAATATCTCTGGATTTCAAAAAACAGATCATTAAGAGCTTAGTCTCTCCAGGGATACTTCTTGAAGATGTAGGATTTTACCCCATACCTTGGTGGACAGGTACAGTTAAGGAAGGCTGAGACATGACAGGAATAAATCAAACCAGAAGGCAGTTATATTTGTCCTACTCCTTGGAAAATGAGTTGCAGGGGAGCGTGGGTCTAGTGAAAACTGAATGGGAATTGTCAATTTGGCCAGATTATACCAGCAGGAAATTTCATTTAGATGATGATTAAGGGCTTTGAATCTTGAGTTCTTAAAAATTTTTCTTGCTTTCTTTTGGTTGGTTGATACTTAGACAAAAAGAGACATGATGAAAGGTAAGAGAGCAAGTATTCACAATTCCTTCCTTCCTGATCAACTTACTCTGTTGGGTGCTTTGCATACATGAGTTCACTTATCCTCATTAACACCCTGAAAACCAAATTTTATTATCCATCAGAGAAATGAGTAAACAAACTCAGAGGATAATTAACTTCCCAGGTGGCACAGTTAAGAAATAATAGGACGAGTTTTTTCTGATCCAAATCCATGCCCTTGATACTGTACCACAAACTTATCTATCTCAAACGTGAAGGACAGATTTGAAGAAGAATCTAGAACTAGTGCAGGCATCCAAGACAGAGCAAGTAAGGATTCAGTAAAAAGGCAAAAATTCAAAGGCTCTTTGAAAAATTTCCCAGGTCATCTCCTGCTATATTACAACCAAAACTTTTCAGGTTAAGAATCAAACACTGAGTCATTGGGTATCCAGTACATACTTTAAATTGCATAAATAAAACCTAGGCTATGTTTATGTGGGAAAATGTTCCATAAAGGAATCACTAAGAGTAATTACTGAGTATTTTGTTCATTCACACTTTCCAAAAGTATTTGTACTCTTATAGACCTTGGAGATACAGCTCTCCACGTAGATAAGTCCCTCCTTTTTTGGTAATTTACTGTCTAGTTGGAAATAGAAATGAAAAGTAAATAACGAATGAATGAAAATGCAGGCCGACTCATGCAGTGATGAGCAATGGAATTTTAAAAAATTTTGTCTTGAAAAAGGAATTATCACAGTGTGTCTCAAACACTAACGTGAGTACAAATCACGTGGAGGATATTGTAAAAATAAAGATTCTAATATAATAAGAAGGAAAGGGTTCCACAATTCTGGATTTCTAACAAGCTCTGGGAATGCAGTCCTGCTAGAGAAAGAGCCATACTTTCAGTATTGAGTTTGGGTAGGTAAAGCACTTTACCTATAGTAGGAAGAGACCTTGGAAGTCACTCTAGAATTGTAACAAGATTCAAGTAACTTATAGTAAAATTCCAATTTACTCACTTGAGTATTTTGAAGACTTTTTTTTTTTTTTTTGGTGCAGGGGATTGAACTCAGGGCCTTGTGTGTGCAAGGCAAGCACTTTACCAACTGAGCTATATCCCCACCCCTATGTTAGTGATTTTAAAAAGTGTATCAAATCTCAAATAATTCTTTCCAAAAAATAAAAAATAAAAATGTCTGCCACCCCTACTTTTCTTGTGCCCATTTCATAATACTTCTTTAGTGAAATATTTGAACACTTGTAGACCTTGGTGATGTAGCTATTAGCATAGAGAAGTCCCTCCTCTTTTGTTACTTACTGTCTGGTAGGGAGTAGGGGAGGATAGAAATGGAAGTTAATAATAAATGAGTGAAAATGGAGGCTAACTCATGCCACAGTTGTAATTCTATGTGCTAAGCAGAAGAAACAGCAAGTACAAACATACTTTTGCAAAATGTCTTAGAAAAGAAAGGCATTCACAGCCACAGTTTTATGAGCAACTAGAAGAATGATTTGATATGAGAGATAGGCACAGGAACTAGATAATGTAGGACTTCACAGGCCAGAGAAAAAGATTTAAATTTTACTTCATATGGAAAAGGAAACTATTTAAAATTTTTCAAGCCAAGGTGACTCTGAGATTACATTTTAGGGAAAAAACATCAAGGGGCTATAAAGACTGTTTGTATGATAGAAAGGAAAAGAAAAGGCAGGGATAGGGAGACTGGTTAGGCTGCTTTGGTAGGAACAGAGCCTTTAGCAGCTAGGGCATCATGTTAACAAGGGAATGACTGAAAGTGGAGCTAGAACCCCTTAAAAACTGTGAAATGGTTTTCAGTTTTTGGTTTTGGGTACTGGGGATTGAACACAAGGGTGCTTTACCCCGAGCTACATCCCCAGCTCTTTTCTTTTTATTTTACATTTTTTTTTTTTTGAGACAGGGTCTTGCTAGGTTACCAAGGCTGATCTCAAATTTGTGATCCTCCTGCCTTACCTTCCTGGGTCACTGGGATTACAGGTGTGCACCACTATACCCCACTATGAACAGTTCTTTCTCTATGTACAATCCATAGGGTTAGACTGCCATATAGTTACAGGAAGGCTAGAAGAAGACTTAAGATTCCTGATTCATAGACAAAAGATTTTTTTAAAACCACAGAAATAGTGATAGTGTCAGTATTTGTGTGGATTCCCTTAGTCCCAATTTCCACAAAGCAATGTAAAGTGAACTAGGGGACACCTGCATACTCAGTAATCAAGATAAGGTCAGAATTACTTTTTTTTCCTTTTTGCATTAGGATTGAATATGTCATGGTATGGCACTGTTACTGATCCAGTTCTTATTTAAAATATTCATATTGTGTTCATCATGGATTTTACCATTAATTTTTWAAAACTACATTAAAATAATGTGGGTTTTTTTTTTGTGTGTGTGTGTTCCAATAAATTTGCATCTTAAACAAGTGCCTCAAATGCCTTCCTATTGTCCCTGCCCTGCCTTCCCGATGACAAGTCTAGTAGGGGTATGATCCAGGTGTCTATACCAAATACAGAATAAAAACTTGAATTCCTTCCATCTCAAGTTTGCCAGTCGACTTGGTCTTATGTACATAGAATTCAACCATCCTTCCTAATGGAGAAACCCTAGTCCTAACCTTAAGCATCTTTCTCCTAAAGCAGCTAAAATCAGGGTGGATAGTGAGGGTAGAGTAGGGAATGGTGAGGGAAGAGGACAGCTCCAAGACAGTAAGCAAGACACATTTGCTTTCAGTTTTCATCACTGAACAGCAACTTGTGGCTCCTCTAACCAAGATTCAAATGTTTTTGTGGAACCAAAAGCCTAAACTGGATGATAAGATCATTATTACTGTCACTATTCATTTCAACTCCAGCATACATTGACTCAGAAGCCAGGATCTATAGCTTTCTGCCTAGTACTCATAGCTTGTGATCTTCAACTAACCTGACCTTGGTCCACACAGCAATAACTGAATGTTTAAAGATACCTACTTTAATCCAGGGCATTTGCTATTTCATCATAATAATAGCTCTTAGAGTCTTGCTTGTTTTTAACATAAAGGTTAAGAAAGTTTTTCAGAGCACCAGTTGATAGCAAGAATTTATCTAGATTTCTTTGCATCTGTTTCTCATTCTTCAATACAGCACCTTTGCCACTACTGTAAACCCAATTCAGATATGTAAGTGCCCCAATACTAATTGCTACCTCACCTATGATTTCCCCCCAGAGTTTTCTTGCCTTTGGAAAGTCTCACCATGAGAAATGAAGCTCCTTTTCTATAACCAGGTTGCACTGAGAAAGCTCCGAGACCTTCAACTATATCTTGGAATGAATCTAAGCTTGCCCTGTGAAGTTACAGGAGAGGATACACCCTGAGAGGGCTCAGTGTGCCCATTCTTCCTCAATATGTATTATGTTCCCTGTCCTCTCAGCTTCCCCAGGATACCAGCCAAAGTAGAAATGATTCACTGGGTTTATGTCTTTTCTGAAAATCTCTCTTTCCAGGCTCAGCATAGGTGCATACCTCTGCAACTTTAATATGAAAGGGAGTGAAACTTTGTGCCCACTCAGTAGAAATTTTCTGAATTCTACTGAGGAAGAATTCACTCCACCACTTCCTCCCAGAGTGGAGTTGGTGACAGGGTGCTGTTCCAGCAGCTATCTTTGAACTTACATCTTATTACTCTGCCTTTAAACCCCACCCATGTCAACATGTTTGCTACTGATTCTCATGGACTTCCCTAAAATCCTATTAATCAGCCCTTGAAACCCTCATAGTTTCTTTTTTACAAAGCTATCTATTAGCATTCCATGCTCATTGCAAAAATTATCAAAGGCTGCCTAGGATTTTACTCTACTTATAAGGTGACAAGTTAGCTTGAAAATTTTTATATAACAATAGCCAGTATCAGCCTTTGCAGTGGTCCAGAACTCTAATGCTCACACAGTCATATGATGACCCTTGGCTATAGAAGTGGGCACTATCTCCATCTTCAATTGCTCTTTCTATATGAGTATCCCCTCAAAGAATGTTCAGAAAACAGTCAGAGCCTCTGTTTGCAAGATATATGGAAACATGAGTCACCAACAGAGAACTACCTCCCAAAAGAACTAACAGAACTTGCTGTTGGATTGGATTTGTGGGTGTAAGGGCAATGGCAAAAATCAAAGATGATTCCAGGTTTTGAATTGTACAGTCAGGTGGCATTTTGTGTCATTTACTCAAATAGGGACATTTTAGGAAGGGGATCAAATTTTGCTTCCATATTAATAGTATAAGCTTATTATATCCAAAAGAACATGAAAAACGGAGGATCAGCCTGAACCAGTAATAAGATAGTAATAAATATTTGGATATAATTACTCCAGCAAGTATTTAAGTCATGGAATAAAATGAGATAAAGAAGAGAATCCAAAACTGAGGTCTGTGACACTCCAACACTTAAAAGAAATAACTAAAACAAGGAACAGCCAGTGAGAGAAGATGATGTGACCAGGGAGCAAAAAGAGACCAGATGAACCAATGTTGCTGAGAGTTAAGGGCCATAAAAATAGAGTAGCTTGGACTTCCAGTGTACAAAGAGTCAGGAAATACAATTGTGGATAAATACAGAGTGTAAATAATGTGATTTACTGAAGGAACTGGATAACTGAAACTATGAGGCTGATACTTGGGCTTTGTAAAATAAATAAATAAAGATTTCAAATTTACAACAGTCATATTGAGTAAATATGGCACACAAACTATGATCAAAACTCACCTTTGGTTCTGTCTCACCTCATCCCTTTAATATTTAGTGAGGATAATCATGCCCTTCCCTTGAATAGAAATTCATAGATATATTAGGTACCGCTCTGATGCTAGGGAGAGAACAGTGAATGAAAATACTCATGACCTTGGCAGATCTATAAATTTGTAGGCTTTTAGGTAATATAAGTTCCTATAATCATTTTCTACTGGAAATCATCTCTATTAATAAATTAAAATGTCTAGGCCTATGTAATTACTGAAATTATATCTTAACATAAATTTGCATTTCCTCCTGAGGTCTGGTCTGCATTGAGGTAATAGCCTTCATTGGTTGACTTCTCCGTTTTTGTATTTCCCAATTCGCCAATTGCTGTTTCCCTCTTGACCCTGATTAAAGAAGGAACAAGTAGGACAATTCTTATGTAGCTGGATGGCTTTATTATCTCAAAATCCACAAGTGGTTAAAGATACATACTTAGGATGGCTGGAAGATAAATTAAGGGTATTTTCTAATGATTTTCCAAGTTTCCCTTCTAGTCTTTTTCTCCTGAAGGTCATTGAGTGAGTTGACTGGTAATTCTCTAGTCTTGAGTAGTCTCTTATGGCTCCTTCCTCCATCCCAAGGCATCTAGCTGTATACCGTTAGCCTCTTTCTGTGAAAGTTTCTAGGCTCCTCCATATTTGGCCCAGGACTACTCAAGATGGCTCTTGTGTTGCCCATTTTGTCCATGTGTACCTCCTATCTATCTTTTCTTTTAATAAATTCTTACAGTAATACAATATCGCAATATAGTAGCAAGTCTCTCTCAATTCGACTAAGGTGATTAGCATTTTCTCACCTTCTGGATTTCCAAAGCAGGAATTCAGCACCAATCCAGGGCATCTCCTTCTGTAGAGACACCAGATTCTTCCTGAAATGGCCACATAAAAGCACCCCTCACTCAGCTTTAAGTGTGGGCAAAGAATTCATAGTGCAGTTTTTCCCAAGATCTTCTCCTAAAGACCTCTCTCTCCTCTTTTTATAATGTCTTTTGTTGTAGGACAGGTGCTAGGAATAGACCAAGGGCCTCATGGATGCTAGGCAAGCATTCTACCACAGAGTTATATACTCCCCCAATCCCAGCTCCTTATAATGTCTTAAAGTGTGAGAACTTTGAATGGTTATAGAAACATCTTTAAAAAGTTCTCCTTCAAAATTTGCATATTTGGATTTTTTCTCCCTCACCCTGACATGTGCTGTCTCTTATATTAGTTTCACAGTCAAAACTGAGGTAAAAGGAGTATAATTCTAAAATCCTTATTACACGTATATGTAAAATGAAACAAATTATAACAGATTTATCAAGGTTTTATATCATAGAATTGGATAATAGCCTCCTTTCTGAGAAGAAGGCAAAAGGGAAAGGAGCCTAAATGTGGGGACCCAAAATTTGAGGGCACTGGGATAGTTAAGGAAGACAATGACATAGGTGAATTATGCTTTCAGCATTTAAAATGAAACTAGGGTCTGAAGAAATATACTACAAGCTGGGTGTAGCTCAGTGATAGAGCACTTGCCTTGCATGTCAAGGCCCTGGGCTACAGCCCCAGCATCATCACTCCCAATATACACACAAATGAATGCACGCACACACCTATACTTGCACACATACATACCAAAAACATAACCCAAGTCTTTTTATTTCTTTTTATTTAAATAAAAACCAGGCTGGGCGTGGTGGCACACACCTGTAATCCCAGTGGCTCAGGAGGCTGAGGTAGGCGGATCACGTGTTCAAAGCTAGCCTCAGCAAAAGAGAGGCACTAAACAACTCTGTAAGACCCTATCTCTAAATAAAATACAAGATTGGGCTGGGGATGTGGCTCATTAGTTCATCCCCCAATATCTCCCCCCCAAAAAAAATAAATAAATACCAGAATGAAGCCTCCTAAATGTATGTGCCTTCTCCAATTAATTGCTCAGTCTTCAGTTCAGCTTTTCTTGATTAGAAATGAAGATCATAGACTTTAGGACACTAAACATTATGCTATTTGATAATAACATTTGCCTTAGGAGGAAGAAAAAGTAAATCCAAAATTATACTAGAATAACTAGGAACCTCTGAGTATATGTGGTAAATGTTCACAAAACTAGCAGAAGAAGTCATTAATTGATCACTTTTCAGTACTGAAGGTGATAAAATAAGTGGGGTATAATGCATAGTTTTTCAGTAGATCTCTGGGAATAGAAACCAAGAGAAATGATAAAATCAGAGAAGAGAGCAAAAGAATAAGAAGAGATGATAGTTCCCACTCAAAGGTATACTTCCAGAGGAAGCAAAGAGGAGGAGAATTAAACATTCTGTCAAGGATGGAGTATAGAAGCCTAGAGAACACAAGCATTTATGGTGAATTCCTGAAGTACCAAAATTCAGAAAGATGCCAACAAAATATGTAAAAGAAATACTAGCACACAAAGAAGTTGACAGCTTCTCCCAATATGGTTGATAGGCGGAACTCCCAGCAGGAAAGGAGGATGGGAAAATATTAAAGTCCAAATTGATTCATAATGTAGTGAAACTTAAGTAAGCTGAGTTCATTGACAGAAATTGTCGGCAATCTGGCCACTTCATCATAGAATATTTATGTTTTACTATTGAAGATTTTTACTTCAGTGGTTCTGCATAAATATCTTTATAGATAGAAAAGAAAAGAAAATCCATGTGAAAACTTGGCAATCATTCAGGAGCAACCCACACAAAGGAAGTTTGCTTATAAATAAGTCCTCAGCCATATTTCCATATCACAAACACAGAAGATCCAATATAATTACCACATAGTTTTAACTAAAATAAGAATACAACTATGGCTGATTCTGGTTTCTCTCTTTGGTCTCTTTAGTCCTGTCTGTAGGTAGTGACCAGCTGGAATTTGCAGCATACACTTACTAGCCAACCCTTTCTTGTCTTGTAGGTGCAGACGACAACCATGTGCATCTCTGTTAGCCTGAGTGGCTTTGTGGTCTTGGGCTGTTTGTTTGCACCCAAGGTGCACATCATCCTGTTCCAACCCCAGAAGAATGTGGTCACACACAGACTGCACCTCAACAGGTTCAGTGTCAGTGGAACGGGAACCACATATTCTCAGTGTAAGTATGGACTCAACACTGACTCTTTCTTACATAGAGCATCAAAGTAGAGACCAGGCTGGCAGGAACAGGCAACTTATGTCTGCCCCCATGAGCACTCTCAATTCAATCTTAGTAAGTACTAATTATCACCATACCTGTGTGTCAGATACTTTCTTAAGAGTTGAAGATATGGTGGAGAACAGAAGAGTCAAACTTTCTGTTTGAGCATTATGGACATACTAAGAGAGAAGAAGGACCTTTAACCTATAATTGTGATTAGGGTTTTTGACCCTGTTGTGGAGCCAAATAACCTGACCTCTGATCTTGTTCAGTGATCACTTTAATACCTTATGCAAGATATTGTATTGTCCCTGCCTCAATTTACTCATTGGACTGGAGTGTTGGACAAGTTTGGTGCTTCTAAAGTATATCCTATGTCACACAGATGGTGAGGGTGCTTCCTGCAAAATGAAAGGGGAAAATAATAAAATAAAATGGAAAAAAATGCTACAGCCTAAATACCCTCTTAAAAGTTTAAAGTACTCTCTTTACCATGAGCCTGTTAAAAGTTCTGAGAAACTTCTACAGCAAGAAAATGTTTCATTCACAATGTTATTCAGAATTTCTTAAAAGTATTTGACCACACTAAAACCATTTCACTTCCCATGGAAGACACCTTGGAAAATGCTGGAATAGATTTTCCTATTTCAATGACACCATGTTTTTTCAGCTGAGAGCCAGCTGAGAAGGCAGTGTGAACTGAAGGACCCCAGGACATCTGCCCAGTCCAAAGATCCCTCTCCTACTGGCCAGCAGATGTCTGAAACACTATCCTTCGAGAATCAGTGACTTAATTCTTTTATAGAGTTTTCTAAAGCACAAATGTACCTGAAGGGGACAGCCTTTTAAACCACTTTCAGCTAATTTATGGTATTTGGTAAGAGAATTGCACTGACAGACGGGAGAGGAGAAGAAAGAAGGGGAGTGGAGCCAGGAGGAGGGAGGGAGGATTAGAAGTGACAGAGACAAATGACTACTTCACCATTTTGCCTCAAGTCAATTAGAAAGGATACTTCAAAATAGCTCAGCATCACAGGGTGAGCAATCACATCAGTGCCCCAATTTCTTCAACAAAGTACAGAATTTCACAAAGCAATCCTCCCCCAGCAAATAGAGGGAAGACTGGCAGACTGAGCACAAGCGTTCAGTGACACACTGTATCTATCATAGCTCCTTAGCTGCCATGGGTGGGGACTTACTGTCTTTCCAGTTAAATCCCCAGGTTTCACAATGGTTGAATCCCAGGATATGGTAAGACCTGTAAAATAAAGAAACACGCTTATTTCTTCAGAAAAATGTCTTCCTTTGTAGCCCAATTGTAACAACTAGCTAGTCCAGACAAGAAAGAACTGGCAATAAACAATAACAACGTCTAACAGGAACTATCATGTACTGAGTATTTTCTATGTGTTGGGAACTTTGTTAAATATGGTATGTGTGCATGTGTGTGTGTGTGTGTGTGTGTGTGTGTGTGTACTGTATATTTTATTTAATGTTCATAACTCTTTGAGGTAAAGAAACCCAGTTAGGCTCACACATTTTAAAAGTGGCTAAACTTGATTTTAGGGTCAAAAAACCTCTGATTTCAAAGCCAGCGACCTGACTACAGTATCATGTAACCTCTCTGAGAGAGCAAGCTGGGAGAGTTCTCATGATGCTAGGTTGTTGGTAGACTTTACAGGGAGGCTGAAGGGAGGTTCCCTGTGGAGGATGAGTTACCTCTGGTCTCTGTTGATATCTCAAATCTCTAGGTTGTTGCTGGAACAAGTCAGCAAAGTCCTTAAGTCTCCCACAGACTTTGTTCAGAATCTCATATATCCAGACCAATAATTCAGAAATGGCAGCATTTCCTAATATATATGTGAATGAACAAATTCCTAAAGGAACAACAAGGGCCCTTTACCCAGCCAAGTCTCTCTTCAGAAATTTAGAAATTTCTATTTACACAAAAACAATGTACTGTGACTACAATGGACCTGCCTAAGCTGTTCTCAGTATGCTAACCTGATATGATCCAATTAGTGCTTCCAGGTTGGTTATCTGCCCAACCCAACATTTTTAGACTATTTTATTACTCAATGATACTTTAAATAAATTTCCTTCCTCTTAAAAGTTCTAAATTCGTATTTTAAATGTTTCAGGAGTATTACCCTAATTAGTTAATCCAAATCAGTGAAATCGTACTATGTAACAAAATGAAAATTGTATATAATATGCCTATGCATTCCAAAGTAAGTAACAAATGCATTCATCTGTTATTTGTGATTCTATATCTCTTATTCAAAGTAGATTTGCATTTATGAAGTCATTTTCTCCTCATGAATACCAGATATCTATTTTGTAGGTAAAGAAAATTGAGATTTGAAGTTATTCCTCAAGGATACACAATGATTTAAGAGTCAGGAGTTGACCTTGGATTTCTTGACTTGCAGTTATAATCATTTCCATTTTAATAAGTTGGAACTATTATCATGAAATTTATATTTTTTATTAAATTCTTGAGTACCTACTATATACCAGAAATTTCTAAGCACTGTGTACACCATATGACTATGACAGAGTCCCTGGCCGCATGAAGCTTAACATCTAGGGCAGTGCTTTTGCATGCTATGGAGTGTACCCATTAATGGTTGTGTACCCATTAGTGGTTGTTTTAAGACATTTAAGCTATGAGAAGTTTGTTATGCAGGAATAAATTATTCAATGTGGAGAGGACAGAGGATAACTCTGTTTCAATACCAATTTACTCTCATCCATATGTGGAGTATTTTCTTTCATCTCTGGAGAAAATAAGTCCAAAATCAGCAGCAATATCAATAACATTCAATATAAAGTACATCCATCCCTTGGTATCTGTGAAGGATTAGTTTCAGGATACTATCCTCACCACCTGCCCAAAGATACCAAAATCCTTTATACAAAATGGTACAGTATTTGTCTATTACCTATTCACACCCTCCCATATACCTTAAATCATCTTTGGATTACTTATGATACCTCATAAAATATTGTGTAAAAAGTTGTTATAATATTCTTTAGAGAGTAATGAAAAGGAAAATGCATGTGCATATTCAGTACAGATACAATTCTTTCCAAATATTTTTGATCCGCAGTTGATTGAATCTGTATGTGCAATCTGAATAAAATGCATGTTCTTCATAATGATACCAAGAAGTCTCCCAGACTTGAAGGTACAGCCACATTAATTGCCAGTTAGTTCTCTGACAGGAAAATGGTATATAAACCACAATTCTCTGTAATCTAGGTTAGCCTTTTGACAGTAACTAAAGTGGTTAATACAGAAATATTATTGTATTGTGTTATTAAGATAAAAAATCCCCCCCCCAAAAAAATGGTAAGTATGACCAAACTGAGAAGCAGGCATGGAAGAAAGAATATGGTTCAGGACATCTTAGAAAATGCACCATTTGAGAAATGTTTCACATATTACTATTTGCAAAAGAGAACAATTCAAGTTGTACCTATTAATTATATACAATGGAAGTCAGAATAAATATAAATGAAACTTTAATTCTTCTCCATTAACCATAGGTCAATGGTTCCCAAACATCTGTGTAAAAAAGATTCTTTGAAATGGAGATTCTCTGGCCCCACCCATGGATATACCAGTTCCTGTGGTTTGGGGTAAAGGCCAGAAATCTGGTTTGTAACAGATAACCCAGCTGCTTCAGTGGAAGTGGTCCAGGAGAAAATATTTTGAGAACCCCAACATGAAACATCCTTGTTTACTTTATCCATTAATATCAGTGCAACACAAGGAAGTCATCTTAAATGAGGTTTAGAGAAGAAGCAGGCACTGGGTTCAAAGAGAGAGTGGTGTTCTCTCTTCCCTGGCCTCATGATGTTAGTGGTCACATACCCATTCAGTTATTTCCTAAGCTTTCTCCAGGGCCCTGGAGGATAGAAGCACCTAAACGTGGACATGCTCCTTCCAGTGGCAGTATAACTCAGAGACCTTGGCATCCTGAATGCATCCTTGCAATGCTGCTCCCACACCCACACACATAAGCAAACATTCTTTGTATTTGGATAAAAAAGAAAAGAGGTCATTCTTTATTCTGTTCTGCTCACAGCCTTTTCCCAAAGACAGACAATCAAAATTACATGCTGGAAATGTTAAGTGGAACTGCAAAATATTGAAGGAGACAAACTGGATCTACACATGAGGTTATGCAATGTAAAACCCTACAGGAGCTGTGCAGATTAGAATGTTGACATCAATATGCTTTCGTATCAGCATAGACTAGGAAGAGAGGTGGAAATGAAGTGAGTCCCATACTATTCAGAGCTATTTTGTACTCACATTTGGTGCTACAGGAATATGCTCATGGTGATTATTTAGATATATGTGTGTCATTATCATTACAATTAGTCAATGCCCAGATTTGGGTCCCTGAGGAGCTGTAGGCACATAGAAATTGATTTCCTCTGCCAAAACCTTATTCAGAAAGTCACCTGTCAGGATGGTAATGTGTGAACTGCTCCAATTAATAGAGTTATTCTTTATTACAAAGTATTTTCACATTAGAAAATGAGAGTATAATAAAAAGATCAAATGAACAGTCTTCTAGAATCGTAGCATAATTTTCCACAGAACTATAGCAACTAAAAGCAAATGTATGAGGATGAGACTTTGTACTTATCCATGGCTGAGCCTTTGAAGATGCCCTAGTTAGCAGGGGGCAAAGCCATTGTTGAAGCCTGAATATAACTTTATAAAAGAAAAAAAAAGTACCATGATAACACCCAAGTTTCTTCTCTATGTTGCAGTTTTAGAGAAACAGCAGCTATACCTAGGCACTATAAGTTTAGGGAGTCCCCTTGTGACACATGAACTAGCCTGACCAGGCTAATTGGCAAGTTATCTGTTAACACAGACTGAATGAACCATCTTCGTCAACACAGACATGAATATATTATAAATACACATCTTCAGT